GCTTCCTCTCATTTGCTTATTTGTTTTCCCGTAATCCCTCGGTGACCAGAGGATGCTGAGGTCAAGGCTTCTTATAGGCCCAATGGTCTGTTGCAGGGCTCTTGATGTCCTTGGCTGGTCATTGGGCTTCTGGTTTTATGGTTGAAGTTATTGTCATCCTTGAATTTAAGACCAATCAGACAATTACCTACTTTTTTATACCTTTATCAATGTAGATTTAGCAACATTTGATGCTAGCACATACTATTTTTTGCCAAACTTGATAACTTTAGGAAACCACAGCAATAATTCTTCTATCCTCAGTGGTTGCTTGTGGCTTAAACCAAAAACGAGTTGACCCGGGAGGTCGTTGCCCTCTCATACACTTCCCATGTCTCAAAGCTTGACCCCAATGGCCAGTTGTCACGTGCAGCCTTGGCCATGTGTCGCACAAAGCAGTTGTCGAAGCTTAACGTGTTTGGGAGAAAACAATCCAAGATGAAACGACTGATCCTGTTCAGAGATTAAGAGCTGCCTATAGCGCTGTAGGGACAATGACACATCCACACAATATATAGGACAACAGAGACTAAGGCAGGAGGTCGTTTGGAGGTTAAAACTCAATCTCTTTTATAAAGAGTTGACTCCCCATCAAGACGACTGGAGGAAATTGTTGTTTATTTAAATCAGCCTATTTTCATCAGCACAACTTGGTAAATTGTATTCTTGGCAGTGCATATTATTTCATTGTTCATATGGTAAATGGACTTTACTAATACAGCATCTTTCCATTTTTTCAAGATACTCAAGGCACTTACACTACAATCTGTGTCCTCATTTACCCATTCATACAGCACTCTACTATTTCTATACAAATAATAATCAGTGCTTTATCACATTCATACACTGATGGGACACACATCAGAGACAATGGGGGGGTTCAGTGTCTTGCCCATGGACATGTCAGCATGTGACTGCTGGTGGAATCAAACCCCCAACTCTTGCATTGGAAGATGACTACTCTAACCACTCAGCCACAGCCACCCCCTATTAGCAATTAGCTATTAGCAATCTTACCCATATTAGCAGCCTCCCATGCTTATCGTTTAGTCCACTGAGTTACACTTCTGGAATGAAGACAGGCTGATATGAACCAGTTTTAGATCTTGCAATTGGCTGGAGTTCACATGCAGGGTCAAGCTACAGTTTTAAAGGTTTAAAAGTTTATCAAACCTAATCTGAGGAGGGTTTGAGCCACAGCAACTTTGTGACTATTTTGAGAAAAATTAAATAAAAATGCATGTGATAATGCTGTGAACTTCTGTAACTCAACATCCGAGGAAAGTTTGGACGCCCTCACAAACAGACGCAGCCCTGTGAGGTACTGGCTTTAGTTTCCTTCAGTCAGAAAGTGTGAGAAATGTCAAACCTTTTAAACCAATCCAAAAAAGTTCAATCTGGTCCTCTGGACATTCAAAAAAAAAAAAAAGTAGATACGTTTCGTCTTTCATCCGAAAGACTTCCTCAGTCTGAGGTGCTGTATTCAGCTCAGTCTCTTAAAAAGCACCTTCTCAGAGTGGATCAACCAGTTTGCTGCTGACAACCAAAA